ATTGCTGCAATTGCTGCTTACTGGTAGCTACTTCCTCGACTCGGTAGCTTGACCGTAAGGGTAATTCAAAAGGTAGAATAGGACGGGAAGCAGTATGATCCAAAGATGAGCCAAAAAATTTTGCGTGAACTTACTGTGCGCCTCTATGGAAGAAGTTCAAGAACGCTCTCGAGTAAGCATCTATAAGGTTTGGAAATGTCAACATTCTTTTCCACAACTTTTTGTTCAAGGTATTGCAGAATTTTTATCCAACCTTATACTTCCCTAAAGAAACTGAAATATACCTTCGGAGCCTGCGTTGGCCTGGATGGTGCTGGAGAACAACTGACAGAAGCTTCCTTTTTCTTTCTAGCCATATCATTGTCCTGAAAATCATGATTGTTCAGCTTAAGTCACACCGGCAGATCAGACCACAAGCTTTCCTAGCTTTTAGTCGAACATCCGAGTCAGAATAGCTTTTTATAGCACATACAATCCTGGAATTTGTTTTCGCTGCTGCTGTACCTCTCAATTTGGCGCAAAAAGCTGCGTAAACTTTGAAAAATCAAATACCTTCTCAGTTACGCAACTCGCTTGGCGTTTCTTCAAAGCAGCTATGCCTTTATTCGTGTCCATTCGCTGACCATTACCCTTAAATGATTTGATGGATTCGCCAATACGAGAAACTAACAATGACAAGAAAGGGTACACAACATCAATTCGAAGATTTCTTGTACTGTTTTCAAACGCAATGTCTCAAGCAACCACCAAATCCACTAGAGCAACCACTAGAACTTTCCCAAGGACGTCTCTAATCGTGAATGGTGCGGAAGTACACTCTAGTTCGCTGCGGACGGTTGGGCGTGTCAGCCAGTATGAGTGTGTCACCCCGTCAAAGCCGTTCTCTGCCTTCTTGTTGAAACGCGCATGCGACAAAAGTGGTAGAAAACGAGTAATACGAAGGATATGATACGAACATGATATGATATGAACAAATGCTGGAGAGCGAGTTTGGCACCGCGCCAAACGCAGCTGCAACAGCATTGACACGCCCAACCGTCCCCGGCGAACTTCACTATGGATACGCAAGAACGAAGTAATAGAGTTTTGGAATACCCATACTTCATTTCTGACCAGGCGCTGCGTCTGAACAATTTTCAACTTCTTTTCGGACGACACAAGATCCGGTGCTGTGCCGCTTCCCCTCGGCAAAGCAGTATCAGCGTGATATGGAATTTCTTTCTGGAAGGAAATCAATAAGAGTACCTTCTACAACGAGAAAAAAGGGGAGAGCAAACCTTTATTGGTACTGGATCGGCACACTCTCGTACCAAAGCGAGGCTGACTCCTGTGGCATGAGCAGTTAACTGATCGGGATCGCGAAACGGTGCGACTGGATTCTTACTAAGTCTACAAGCAAGCAAATAAAGAACTAAGCTTCTTTTCAAATCGTTCACCACTTACCTGTTGAACTCCTTGGCGAATAAATGGAAGAAAAAGCGAGTCCTTGCAACGACAGTTTTCACCTGCTCACATACATGACTCTCCATATCATGACACTGCTTACTTCAAAATATCTCGCAATTAATGAAACCTTTCCAAGAAGCAGTGGTTGTGCTACTACAAATTATTTACAATGAAATCCTGACCTGGTTTTGGGTAAACCTCCATCTACTTTTCGCCATGACACTTCGTTGATGGCTCTTTTTCTTGGAGAGCTTTCCGAGACTGTAGCGACCGTTCTTTCCAGACTTACTTTTAAGCTGTCGCAACCTGAAAATACCATATTGCTGGCGAAACTATAGGAAAGCTTCAGAAATCAGCCTCAGCTTGTCTGTTTTTAGCGGATTTAAATCTTCTTGAAAAAGCTCATTTTTTGTTCTTTTTAGTTTGGTTTTCCTGAATCAGAGAAAAATTTCCTAATGAAATGCTGGCTCTAGTTATAGACTGAAGCAAAAATAGGAGAAAAACAATAGCTACCGACCCGGCGATTCATTACTGTAACTGCCACTTTATATGGTAATTTCACAGCTCGACAGCTGGCTGGCGAACTGTGGGAGAAGAATTCCGTGAGAGAGAATTCATGCTCTTGACTACAGACTACTCCAGGGTGTTTCCAAAATCGAAAAATTGAGGTAATAATTGCTGTTTTGAGTTGCTTCTCATGAGCTGCTGTGCGGGTCTTTTGAGGATATATCTAGGATTTATTTCACATCGTTTTCAGAGAAACCCTATTCTTAAAAAAACTGTCTTAGAACACAAGTTAGTAAAAACGCAAGTTAGTAAAAACGCGATCGACTACCTCCCGTTACTTCGCAAAATATTGAAACGACTGGATCACGCTATTCTTCGCGACTCTTTTTTATCGGTAACACCGCAGTGTTGTATATAGGAGACCGAAGTTCAGTTATTCCAATCTTTTAAGTTCGGAAAACTTATAAAAATATGTCGGATTGAGATGGGGCCATGTAGATGATATAAATATTTAAGGACAGGTCGTTGAATAATATCTCGATTGAGATGGGGTCGTATAGATGATATAAATACCTAAGGACAGGTCGTAAAAGTGGATGCATCTGGTGATATCCCTAGGTGTATCCTTAGGTACTTGTGGTTCTCTCACGAGACCATAAACTGTGGCCACGCCCCATCTACTGTCGACCCGTTGGCCGACTGAGCTGCTCAAGGAAGCGGGAAGGGTTTCCCAACGTCGTCGCGAACAACTTGAACTCTACATGGAAGAGGGCTCCCCTATCTCAAGGGGAGCGTCGCGATATGCGAGCTACATCTCTTCACTTGGTGAAGAGTGAATCTTTCCCTAGGTGGAAACTGGAGGTGAGTAATGCGTACAACACGGGAGTAATGCGTACAACACGGCTGCACGTTGTCATAGGCGTGACTCGGCGCAATGGTCGTTCCAAAAGGAAGGGGATGATTAGACATTTTCAATAAGTAGATTGGTCCAGCTTCCATGATAGCAGGAGATATGTGGCTGAAACCCTTTCCCTCGCTTGGTTGAGCATGAACTGAGCAGAATCTACTGAGTAGCTTGTATCTCAGTTCATGCTATGTTTGGCTTTGCCATTGAGTCATTTGTACATATTGATGGATAAACGGTTAATAACGAAGAGCGATCTGGTATGTAATAAACTACAATAGGACAGTTATACAGCATCCACAGGGGTTTACGAAAGCGCGGAGTACGCGGAGTTCGGGGACTTAGAATCCAACACCAAAATTCAGCTGACACCCCTGGAAAGTCGAACCGATTTCAACACATCAGCACTATGGGAAGAGCCCTGCATAGTGTATTTGATGCAGCATGTAAGGAAGCAGCTAAAAGGCAAGTGTGGCAGTTGAGCCCGAAGAAGCTTTGAGACAGCAAGAAAAAGCGCGCTGACTTTGCGTTCATCAGCTTCTACTCGATTTTACGTTTCTATCTTCCCATTATTTTTCTAGGAACAACATGTTGAAGCTTCTTTAAGTATCAAATAATACGAACTGAGAACGATAATGACTTCGACTTCAGCAAAACAGCATAAGGCTATCAAAGCTACTCACGATCATCCAGTTCTTCACGATTTGCGGCATTCATCACATACATATTGTACATCTCGTTTTTAATGCGCTAAAATGATAGTAAATGAGATGGAAAGAGTTGAGCCCATCGTAGCTAACCTCATGTGGATCACGCTGTTTTGTACCGTTCACTACAAAACGCCGCCGAATCTCTTTCTGGTTATGGATTTCAGCCAGTGAGCTGTCGTTTACGAACACTGTTCTCTGAAAATGAATACAATGATTTCACGACAATTTCACGTTGGTTATTCCTCTCTCAATCGTGGTGAAAAAAAGAAAAAAAAATTATATCGGCCAAAAAATGGGAAGTTTTCCAATGGGTCATCTATAACTTTGTATATGCTGCAAGAGACTAAAGTAAGATGGACGTTAGTTCTGAAAGCATGGCACAGTATTGGCACCAGATGACATCAAAAATACGGAAGGCTTTTCCGGCACAAAAATTCGAATAATACAACTCACGGGCACTTCCTGATGAAGATTCCAGTTGATACTAGTCTGCTCCAATGACCAGCTTGGTTCAGGGTATAAACTGGCATTATCAAGCTGTGTGGAGTTAAGGGACTCGGATAACTGGATGCTACAGCTGAAAGCAAACACCCCTAAAAACATGACATAGACGAGAACTTGCTTTCAAAGGATATTCGAAGTGATGACTAGAAGTCGGCAGCCCTATCATAACCGCATGGTTTGAAAACGGTCCTCAACCCTCGATAACTACTCTTTTCTATTGAACATTGGCACATTCTCCCAGAATGTTGGCTGCATGGAATAGTCTCTGAGGCGCCGGCGGCGTGGCCACATCCTTCATTTGAACGTAACATATGATGGGTTAATCGTGGAATAGTTCAGTGTGGTCAACTATCATCTTGTTTTATTCTGGGCAAAGAAATCATTACAAGTGTATCACAAAAAAAATTCCACCAAAGGAGTAACTGCGCCAGGTTCGCATAAAGTGGTCTCGTTCGCTATTGATGATGGAGCGTAGCAGACCGGCAGCGTTGTAGCGGCGATAACCCGTTTTTTTTCTTTGGCCATTCGACAAGACTGTATGATATTATTCGTACCAGTCGTTTCCCGCCAGCTGCCGCCGTTACTTACCCTCTTCAGCAGGTGGAAATGAGCTGGCGGCAAGACAGTCGCGCTGACACGCTCCTCCATCCGCAGCGAACAAGACTGAGCGAGCTATACTCTACATCCCAGCGATGAAGTGAGCGTGGCTGCGCTCTTCACTCGAACATGGCGTAGAAGTCGTTGTTGGTGGGATCTTCACATCTGATGCAAGTGCTATCCTATTTTGCACTGCACAACGTCTTTGTTGCAACTATTCTGAAACTGCTTCTATCCCTTCAAAGGCGAAGCTGCCGCCACGTTCAAAAGAAGTACGCAGTTGCGGACTCCCCATCTCTGGGATATGGAGTGTACAACTACCGCATCCCACTGATTTCGAGTATATATCAACCCATTCATACCTTGGAGAGGTGCTGCTGTTCGAGTAACTACTTGAGCAGCTCGCAGAATGACTTCCGTCTTGTCTTGTATCAAATGGAGCTGCAAATTGAACATAGCATTATTTTTATCACTACACAAGCAATGGAAATTATGCGTTCCATATTATTAGGTTGTCCCAAAAGTTCGTGGACACTTTTTGAATCTCGTATCAGATTTTTCCGCAGCCATTTCGAGATCCAGTTATGTGGTCTATGGGAAGTGTGTGAGGTAAGCATTCCACAGCTTCTTCACCGTCCCTCGCAGTCGCTGTTCTCATATGAAAAACGGTAATTGAAATTCATCATTTTCGACACACTTCGCTATATGAATCTCTACCAAGCCACAACGTGGTTGGAGCCATAAGCGGCATTTCCCTTATTTAGATCTTGATGTTAGCTTCCACAGTACGGCTTTGGAATGGCTCAATTGCTTCTGCTTTAGTGACTTCTATCCGGGTGAAAAACTTCGTCCAAGGAGGCCACCTGCCTTGGATTTGGACCTACTGTGTTCCTTGATTAAAACCAATACGTACGAATCAACTTGCTATCTAGTCTTTACACTTGA